TACAAATTGGTCCAAAGAAAATATTTAATGCAATGGATGGATGGGCATCGAATTTATTAGACGTTTATTAAGTTGGGAGTCCAGCTCAAGACTCGCACAAAAAGAAGCGCTTGCGGGAGGCACCCGTCATTAGAGTTTGCTTTTCTTTTTCTTTTAAACTTCTAGTATTTAGGGATAATATAGGAATTTTTATTTTGATGTTTGTTTTCCCTTTTATTACTGGTTTTGTATTTGATCTTTTTAGAAGCTAGGGTGATATTAGAGCGAATTCTTAATGCGTGAGGGTCTAGAGTCAAGGCAAACGAAGCGAGAAATCGAGTCTAGGCGAGAGAGGAAACGAAGTTTTGAGTCAAGCTATGAGTCCAATTTATAGAAGGGTTATAGAGTGTTTATTACCTAAAGAAAAATGAGGGAAATTATTAGTTTATATAACCCCCATACATCAGAAACGGACTTGGGCAGAATAAAATTTTTGTCACACAGCGGTCTACTCGCCGAGTGCATCTTATGGACTCGGCGAGTCCATGTGAAAATTCACGATTCTTCTGTCATTTACGCTTCAACTCCGCGAGTCTACATACTTACTCGACAAGTCGCTCATTCTTCTTACTTTTGAGCTGAAGATTTGATGACATTTGATGTGGGCATTGGTTCTATTCTTTGAAGATCATTTTCCGAGAATTTCCAAGAATTTTTCCCTTATGTTTGGAGCTTTTATAAAGACTGTACCACACGAGATTTTGACACCCAAGACATGGATGAGCTGTTCCCATGTCTAAAGTCAATTCAAGATGGAACTCAAGAGAATATATATCAACCTCGTCACTACTATCCCAGGGGAGTTTGTTTCAATTCTCTCCTTATTTTTATTGTTCTTTATCATGCATGATATGCAATGGGGACATTGCATAAATTAAATGTGGGGTAGGGGTTGGTTGGTTACACTAGTTAATTTTTAAAGTTTAGCATAAAATTTGCTAGGATTAATTTAGAAAATTTTGGTAAAGCAATTAGGGATCATGCTAGTATTATATTTGATGATTGCATGAAAACCCAAATGTTTAGTCGAGCCTATATACGTTCTAGTGCATTTGTGGCTTCCTTATTTCAGTGAAATCATGGGACAAAAACACGACCTCGCTTAGTTTGAAGGATGCAATATGTTTAGCATCGTGTACCAGAAATGTATCTAGGAAAATTATTATCGCTAACCAATAAAGGTTGAAGTTGAGTGCCCCTGCTTAAGCATGTAGAGTTTTGAGTGGAAAAAGTGAGTTACATGTTAAAAAAAGGAGAGAGAATGACAAGAAAAATTTTGAAGAATTTTTGGAGCATCAAAGTTAAAGTATGAAGTTCAAAGATCAAAGTTCTGGAAAAAAAAAGTTGAAGATACCAAAAATCAAACAACAAAGGTGGTGAATTCAAAGAAATCAAAGATCAAATGTCAAAGAAGTGAAGAATTCCAAAAGATCTCCATAGTGGTATCATAAATTGTAATTTTCTAGATTATGTATGCTTGGGTTGCTCAACCAAAAATACCTTGAGGTTAAGAGGTTTTCTGAGGATGGATTCGGAGGGATGCATAAAATGAGCGTTGTTCGGAAAAAGTGGGCGAATGTTTATGAGGATTGTGAGTATTTGGAATATGGGGGGTTATTAGGAAAATTTTAGACACAAATGCATGCATTGAGGTCTTGGCATAATGGTTGGGTTCAATTGGAGTTGTCTTATGTGATTCTAATGTGTTAAAATTCAGTTTTGCTTGGGGGCAAGCAAAAGTCAAGTGTAGGGTATTTTGATATGGGCATATTTAGCTATAAAATCCATGCATTATCTTAATAATTTATGTTGTTTTTGTCTCATTTAATGAATAAAAGATGATTAATTAGTTTAGAATTTCATTTTTCAGCAATGATGACATGCTCGGATGGAAAAGGAAGCGGAACTAGCGATTGGACGCTTGGATCTTGGATTTTGAAGAAAGAAGGATGTTGCTGGACAGCTTGACCCCTCGTCAGTGTTTTGGCCATATCTCATGAACCGTAACTCCGATTGATGAAAATTTAAAACGTTCTGAAAACTAGACACAATTTCGGACGACTTTCGTGTTTTGAGAAAATGCTGATTCCAAATGGACTCGGCGCGTTGGCCATCAACTCGACGAGTTGGTCAGAAGTTTCGCGATTCTGGATGCGCTGACTTGCCGTACACGGGTTTTAAGTGACGGACTCGCCGAGTAGGTCACCGGACTCGGGCGAGTAGCCCCTGTTTTGTGAAAATCTATATAAAGGGACTTTCAGATCGATACCCTAGCATATAGATGAACCCTTGGAGGCTAATTGCCGACTAAAGGTGATGTTGGAGCGTGGGAAACAAGGGAATCAACCCTACATTCAATTTTAAGGAGAATCAAGTCAAAATCAAGTTTACTCTTACCTAATCTCTTGTTTGAACTATGTTTTTACCAATTGATTTCGTTTTTGAGCTTGTTTTTGCTGTAATCATGAGCTAAAACTCATATCTTCTGTTTAGGTAGATGAATTTGTGAACATGGATTGATTATTTGATTAGGATTAATTTTAACTGGTGATTATGTTTTATTAAGCTTGTTAAAGAACCTTATGTGTTAACAATAACTATTCTTCTGTTAATAAATAAGTAATTAAGTTGTATGAACATCTCTTAGTTGCTAATTTCATATGATTTACGTGACCACATAGTTGTATGTCTAGGAATAACGAATGTGAAACTAGAATTAACTTGAAGATAGGTAAGTTAATGTGTGAGCTTGTGTGATACACCATCAAAAAGAGGTTGATTAAATCACCAATTTGATTAGCTAATTACAAGTCTTTCTACACCCGAATCAACAAACTAGGAAATTCATTAATTTAGACAACTGGCCATTGCTTGAATTAATCTGTTTTCTAAGGATTAGCTATAGCGAATGTGAATCTAATCACTTTAGTCGGTAACCAATGAAGAATTAATCCGATATATTTACCATAAAATCATCCATGGGAACAAATGATTCGAACCTAAACAGAAGGCCTTTTTAATCATTGAATTTAGTTGATCTTTGTTTTCTTAGCTGTTAGTTGCTTAGTTTGCGTGTTAGTAAAATATTTAAGTTTCTAGTCTTGTAAAACTAGAGAAAACCCTTTTTTTACTTGTTTTATTTAGATAATATTAGCATCTATTTTAATTATTTACCGTTCCCTGTGTTCGATACCCTACTTACCTGAACTAAACTGCTAATCGATAGGTACACTGCCTTTCGTGTGTTTGTCTTTGTGTTTAAGTTAGTAGGATTAAAACTAGTTCGTTTCAAACACATCATATATACATATGCAAGCACGATATAAAGGATCAACAAATGCCTCTACATCTCTATTTACATAACTAATGACTGTCACTGAGTGTACACAACCATATCCGTTCATTTGCTAAATCCTACAAGTATATGTTTTCTTTTCAAAATCAACACCATAAGACTCTCCTAAGTTTCTTGTTTCAAATATATTCAGGTCACTAGGAAGCACGTGTCAGTACCTACAAATAATAACAGTTAGCAGGGATAAGAGAGTACCTTTGTTTGATATTCAATTAAGTTATGGTGAATAATAAAGTACCTTTGTTGGACCTTTAATTCATTTATGGCAAGCCGTATGTTTGGGCATACATCAAAATGTTCCCATTCACTTCCTTTTTGCCTCAAACTACACATCCTCTGCATCACATACAATCTAATATCCTTTAACATTTTAATAATTGGATTCTTCGTAGCATCCAATATAAGATTCTTAAAGCTTTCAGACAACCCATTCTCAACTGCATAACACCCCCTCATATTTGAAAAAATGCTCTTGACCATGAGTTTGGATTCCTTCCCATAAGATGCACATAAGCAGCAGGGCTAATCATTTGAATCTCTTTCATTGCAGAATTGAAAAGAGGCTCAGTTGATGCCATACAAACCTTCCAAAATAATTTATCATATTGAGCCCTAGGGAATTTCTTCTTGAAATTGGAAAGAACATGTCTGGCACATTGCGTGTGTTCTATCTCTGGAAATAAATCTTTCACTGCTTCAATTATCCCCTGCATTTACATCATCATAATATTCAAAAGTATATCACACTTGAAACATACCTTATGTTGATCTGACATCAACATCTTACCAAACCCACCTTCAAGATGCAGATCTTCTTGCAAGTTTTCTAAGAATCATTTCCAGTTGTCTTTATTTTCAACACAAACTACAACCCAAGCTATTAGGTATATATGATTGTTACCATCCCTAGCAACAACACATAATAACTAACCAATACACATTCCTTTTAGAAAACACCCATCTAAGTTTATTATCCCTCTACAGCCACTTTTCCAACCCTCCTTTAGTGCATGAAAACATATATATATATATATATATATATATATATATATATATATATCATGCTAAAGTAAGTTTTCCCATCTGGCATAGAGTTCACAGACAACTTGACTGTTGACCCTGGATTAGACCTTTTTATCTCTTCACCATATGACTACAACTTTGCATAATTTTCCACTATGGTACCTTCAACAAGAGACATTGCATGTTGCTTAGCTCTCTTACATTATCCCATACTAACCTCTATGCCAAATTTAGTCTTCACTTCATCCTTTAACATCCTAACATTGAATTTCTGATTCTCAAGAACTTCCTTGGTCAAATGACTACCAATCCATCTGTAGTTAACAATTGGCCCTAACTTAAAATTTCTTGCATTATTGTGGTCAATGGTAAGGGACTTGATTTAGAATGAGTGCTCCTCACTCATCCATGATGCCTACAGCCTAAATGAGCATTGGCCAGTACTACACTTAATTAATAACCTTTTATTGTTGTTTTTTTCAAAGTACAATTGATACCCATTTGCTACAACATAATTACAAATCGTAAATTTTAATTGTTTAGGGTTGGTGAACCTCATACCTAGAATTGACAACTGCTTCTTCTAAGGTATGTCTTCATTAAACATCGGTTTTCCTTTCACATCTGGGACATTATCATCTTCATCATCTTTTTGATCACCTTCTGTGACCTCTTTATTTCCATTTGCCTGACTAACTCCTTCCATGTTGCTTTGTTGTGGACTCATGAAGTTAGTTAGGTCAATACATTCTTCCCCTTTGATTGACATGTTTGACTTCACAGAACAATTATCCACATTTTCATTTTCATTTGCCTTAGCTACGTGCACAGTAGTACCAAAATGGTCCATGTAAACATGAACTTGTACTCCACATTGATAAGAAATGTCTATAAATTCTTGATATTGAAGTTCATTCGAAATCAAGGTTAAACCTTCTGGGATTTGTAAATCGGGTTGACAATAATAAAGTTTCTCACACTTCTCTTGTATGAATCGTTCAAGAAAATCCACAAACTCATAATATGACATACCAGCAAAATCGATGTTCTCGAACACATGATGAACACCATCAGAATAGCAAAAAGGTTTGTTGATGAACACACCTTGGAAATGAACTTTGATGGAGAGGAATAAAGCCATCGATCTTTAGTAATTATAGTGGGACGAGGGTTTTCTTCAATGAGGAAGGGTTACTTCAATGAGGGGGAGGGGATTGTATAACGCAAACGGTTTAATTTATAACAAATTAATATTAAAGTTCCACACGTGGCCGTTTCATTAAATGAAGTGTCACAGATATTTTCCCTCGTGGCATGTATATTATCTTTCAACCCAGTTAAAAGTAACATAATGGTATTTTAAAACAGAGATATGAAAGTATATTCCTTTAATATGCAAAAAAAATAGTTTGGTGACCTTTTAAAACAATCACGAAAAATTTGATCGGCTAATATTACAAACCGGTGAACTCACCAACTTTAATGTGGACACTCTTTCAAAACACATATTCTCAGGGAACTAAGCATATGGAAGACATATTTTCAGAACAGTCATGGGATTACAATTTCTATTTCTTGTTTCAATACTTTCTAAGTAGCCTACTGTTAGGGCTTACTTCGTACTTTCTAGCTTCTATACCCTAGACTAGGGGATATTGTAATATACTATTTTCAATAAATAAAATTATCTATTTCATATCATAGTGTTGTATTGTTAAATTTATGCTTAATACTGTGATCCATGACGTCGTCTCACCATCCAACGTTTCCGCCGCCTGGCTTGGGGGTGTAACATCAACTTTTCTATTTTGCGATAATGAGTCAGCCATAAAGCTAGCCAATAATCCAACATTTCATGAAATGACTAAACATATATATGTAACGACCCAATTTTCACGACTAAAAATTTCTTTTAAAACATTACTAAAACCACATTTATAAAAAACCGTATCATAAGTCATAACATAATTTCATAGTATTAATTTAAAACATAACTTATTATCAGAGTAAAACATCCCAGGCTAATTGGCTATGGTGTGTGCACTGCAACCTCTTCGAGCTCTTTTTTTGAAAACTGAGTACCTGAATCCAAAAACTGAAACCGTAAGCACGAAGCTTAGTGAGCTCCCCCAAACTACCACATACCATACAAACATATAAGCACATACTGGGCCTTGCCCACTGCATCGAACCGAGGTCCAGACTAACTGGGGCCTTGCCCCCTGCATCGGACCGATGTCCGGAAACTGACTGGGACCTTTTCCCCTGCATCGGACCGAAGTCCGGACTAACTGGGGCCTTACCCCCTGCATCAGGTCGAAGTCCGGAACTGACTGCATCGGACTGAAATCCGGATCTAACTGAACATAGCATAGCATAACATGTCAACTAGCATGAACACACATATACTGCATACTGCATCGGGTCGTAGCCCGGAACACATAACACATAAATCCTGTCTGAGCCACGAAGGCATAAACATACTAACTACTGCATCGGACCGAAGTCCGGAAACCACTGCTAACTAAACGGGCCGACATTGTGGCCTTAGACCCGTTCCTACTAGAAGGAAACTCACCTGAACTGCTGGAGTTCTTGCTGATATACTGCTGACTGCTATCTGACAACTCCCGCACTGCTACTCCAATGACTCCCCAATCTACTAATACCAAATATAATACTTAGTCCCAAACTGCCCTTCAACAGTCAAACTAAGTCAACTCTGGTCAAGGTCAAAGTCCTGGTCAAAGTCAACCTTCCAGGTTGACCCTACTCGCCGAGTCAGCCTACTAACTCACCGAGTTCATAAGCTCAGAAACCCCTTTCAATCGCGACTCGACTCGCCGAGTCAGACCATGACTCACCGAGTCTACTGATTTCCGAGTTCTGTCCTACTCCACTCACTGAGTCACCTCCAAACTCACTGATTCGAGGCTTAACCAAAAAAGGTTTGAGGTTCTGCGACCAGACTCGCCGAGTCCAAGAACAAACTCGTTGAGTCCAAGACAATCTTCAACAGACTCGCCGAGTTGTTCTTCCAACTCACCGAGTTCATGCTCATGATCATACAACTCGCCGAGTACACCCATGTGACTCGTCGAGTCTATTCAGTTTTTAATCCATACAGTGGCTTTTCGAGCCATGCAGGGGCTCAAATCCATAGATCCATTCCTCTAGAGCCTAACCCCCACGTAAAGTGGCAAACTTTACGTGTAACCAAGGAGTTATAAGCTTAGAACACTCTAGGGCTAGGGTTTGTAACAAAGGGGCTTCACCAACAACTTATTGGCCTAAACTTTATGACTTTCTGGGTTATTACCAACCTAGATCTGAGGTAGCAACCTCAGATCTACTCCAAACTCAAAATAGATCTCATCCATACTCAAAATGCCCAAAACTTAAACATAAGATAGATCTAGATGCACATAAGCCCAAACAACAGACTATTACCTCAAATGAAAGCTCCAATTGAAGTAAATCCTGGATCTACACCACTCCTTTGCAGCAAAGCCCTGGACTCAACGAGTTGACTCTTGATTTAGAGCTTAAACTTTCTTTTCTTGGTCTTCCTGATTTTGGGTGTTACAATATAGTTGGACCATCATTCATTCGAAATAAAGTTGTTAATAATACAGTCAAGCTCATGCCCCTAAGAAGTCAATATCAACTTGCTGATATGTTTACTAAGCCATTACCCAAAGTAAAGATGTTGCCTTTATTGTCCAAGATGGCTCTTCAAAACGCTTTTTAGAGTCCATCTTGAGGAGGGATGTTGGAACTATCAATCACATGTTTTGGTTACACTTAGTTAGGCTTAAATTAGTGGTTCATTAAAGCATTCCTCGTACAATATATATATATTGCTTCCAAATCATTATTATGGATGAGAGAGAATAATACAATTTTCAATTTTCTCATTTCAAATTCTTGTTATAGTCTCTTAACATGAATTATTACCAAAAATATATGGATGATACTATATGTATCCCTCATTCACACATTCACATATAAAATAAAACACACAATCACTCATTCATTTACACATGAGAGGTACAAGTAGTAATTGGGGTACAAATAAATACATTTACCCATATATATAATACATATATATTATTTATCGTGTTGCTTTCAAATAGTTATGGATCACACATCATTTTTTTATCCACAGAAAAAAGAGAATGGAATTTCGAATTTTGTGTCAATATTGTTCCTTTGAGATCATTGGGTTCTCTCTATTGAGCCATCTCACTAAATCAATACAATTGGTCGTCAAGGAAGAAATCTCATAAACATCGATGAATAGATTTGGTGGTTAATCATCCTGTAACTTGATCACAAACCCTGGACCATAACACATACCTGTGACAATTAATTGAGCAAAATCCAAATGTGAAGATGGACCATATATATTATCGATTCAAGCAATACGTCAAATAAGCAAAATACTGCAGTTGCAGCCCTTACGTTTCACAAGTTATAGTTTGCCATTCAAAAGTTGCTATTGAATTTACCCTTTCATGTCTTAAATTGACGATTCTAGAATTAAACAATTTTGGGCTGGCGTTTTTGTGAATCGTATAGAGGGTTGATGTGTATTTGAGATTCACCTCTCACATAATACGAGAAAAATAGGAAAATAAATTGATTTTGCATCAATTATTTCATTCAAAATTTATTTTCCAAAAATATATTTAGGAGGGAAATTAAGGCAAAGTAAAAGAAGATTTTATTGTTCATTTTTCTATTTTTTTTTCCTTTTAGTTTGATAAGAAAGTGAATGAAATGAGGAGAAAAGTTGCATAAAATTTTATAATAACAAAAAGACCATTCTATTTTATGTTAATTTATACGTTTCTTAATTGTTATCATTACAAAATATTAGAATGTATATTATACATTTATCAGTTTTCTTTCCCTTTTCCTCCAACTCAAAAACACGAATAATATAATCATTTCTTTTTGCTGATCAATAAGAAAACCTGAGTTTTTTTTATCTAAATCTATAAATTTTCTAACAAATGACATTGCTACATACTTCTCATAATAAAACAATGGAAACTGATACATACTTGTCTTCCTCTTCTCCTTTCCTTTTCTTCAACATTGTAGACAAGAAAATGAGTGTCGATATATTCCTTCATCTTTGAATATATTTCTTACAAGTTAACTGGAGGACTTCCCTGATTTTCCACAAGAAAAAAAAAAGTTTAATGCACGTAAGTGGCTAAATGCCCAAAAAAGCAACCTACATTCATTTATTCTTTAAAATACAATATACAAAGATGTAATCATAAAGATTTGAAATTAGGATTTTATAACAAAACAAATAAATGAAAACACGTTGCTATTTTTTACCTTAAAAAGAAGATCATAAGCAATATGTTCCCAAGGTAGTGAAATGGACATGAGGCAACACTTAAGTGGTAGCTTCCTTCTATCTGAATTTCTTGTTGAAGACATAACTGAAAACACGTTCTTTGCTGCCACCTCAGCAACAGATGCAGCTTGTCGAAACATTGCACCAATCTTAAATCCTCTTGATATATGTAAAGGTGAGTGAAGACCAGTTTCATCTAGACTTTGATCTAGAAAGTAGAAGCACCACATTTTTATGTCACAAAACAATAAAGAGTCGAATAAATTCTTCTTTTTTTTAAATATCATTTATACCTAAAACACCAGAAACTGCCACCTCAACTTCCCCACGACCTCCAGGACCTTTCATGTATATCCTGTCTGTTTTTTTGCTATGAGAAAGACCAAAAGGTAAAAAGCTTCCAAATCCAGATTTCCCAACTGTAAAAATTTACAAATGAGGAAAATGAAATTGTTGCATATGGTTGATATTTGTGCAATCTTTACTATTTTTATAAAGAAAATAACAAAGAGTACACCGAGTGAGAGAATTGAGTTAATAAAGGTATTTTATATTTACCATCATAAGCTTCACGAACCATTTGATAGCTTACAAATCCTGAGAATAGAGTAAGCTGTGATTACAAATTACAACCTTATTAGATTTTACAAGAAATCCCCTCACTAGAACAAAGGAAAAAAAGAGCATATACAACTAAAATTTTAAAAGAATAACACCAAACCTTTTTTGGAGCAGAATTTTCCCTCGAACTACTATCTTCTAGAAGCTTTTCACTAGGAAATGCGGCCCCACCAACTGCATTCAGAACCACACAGTAGCAATGGTCTGAATCGGTCAACACCTGAAAAAAAAAAAAAAAAAACATGCAATGACATTTTTTAGTTTTTACAAATGGTCATATATGAAATAAAATCATAATATTAAAAAATTAAACTTTTTATATAGCCTATACCATGGCTTCGAAAGTAGAATCAAAGTCATCAACTGCAAAACATATATCCGGATATGCTGGTGTTGTCTCTACTTCCTGTACACATAAATAAAAAACGTTCCATTTAAAAAATGATGAAATATGATCAAATTTGAAAATAATATAAGCGATAAAGTATAAACAACATGAAAGTTGATAATATAATTTACCTTTCGGGAGTCCAAATGAAAATGGACACGGCTTGGAGATGCATAGACTTTTTTCACAATCTGAAAACACATCCAAAAAACATGTCTTACAACAATTTCTAAATTCAAAAATGTAAAAGGACTTAAAAAAATGATTTAAATAAAGGATCTATGTTACCTTGTATATAGGAGATGGTTGTATTTGTTGATTACTTTGATGATTCTGAATAGACTGATGACTGAAAGAACACATATTATTTAGAACGAAAAAACTAGTGAAATATAATAAATAAAATTTAAGGTTGTTATTCAATTCTAGGCGAAATTGCAAAAGTAAAATTTACATAAAATGGTAATAAAAGTAAGCTTAGATTTACCTACAAATTGCCACTGTTATACTATATGAAGTGTGGGCAATTACATTCAGGTATAATGAGCGATTCCAATCTATGTTCGATGTGATCCCTCCAACTAAATCATCCAACTGTCAACGAATTTATATATTGGGTTAAACATATAGAAATAGTGATATACTTTGATTGATTTATTTATTATAGCATCCCACTTTCATTTTTTCTTATTAAAGAATTACCTTAAAAGTTAAAAATATCCACCCATTTATAGCATTTTCACTGTTATAAATGCATAGATGTTTCAAAAGATAATGTCCTTATACGAAAAAACTTGTAGGTATAATGATATAATAAGGAAAAAAAAGAGAAAGTAATAATGTAATAGAAAGAAAAGAAAGTAGGATGATATGATACATGCTATTTGTTGCATTTAGCTTAACTAGTTTTGTTGCTTTATTTACCTTAGTATCCCACCTGCGTACAAAATAAGGAGACTTTCTTCCAAAATTATCATTGGAGCCATTCTCATGACCATGAAAGCTCTGAAATTAAAAGGTGTAGAATCATGGACAAAGTGTTGAATTTGTATTTTCTTTTTGCTGCATGAAGTTAAGGCAAAATTAATACCATTTCTCTAACAAAGAATAAAAGATCATCATCTTGTTGTTCCTTTGACTCCCTCCCACCAATGAAATATGAATCCATAACATCATGCCAAAACTTTTGATCCACTTCAACATCAAATGTATCTTGTGAAATATCTACTACGGTTTTTCCTAATAAATTTGAATGTTCCTTCACTATACTCAACAATTCACACCTAAAAGATAAACATTACTTAGATGCGACTTAAATTAAAACACGAAAAAGCAACTATTAGGATTAATGAATTTGAAGACCTGGGTTGAAGGAAAGAGAATGAAGAAGGAACGAATGAATGAATTAACTGTTTGCTTACCTTGATTGAGGTTTCCCTCCAACACCTAGCATTTTCTGTTTGTCGATTGAACTGTTTTTGAAGTTCAGAGGTGTAATAATAAATTCAATCTCGGATGGATGAGGAAAAGCATATCGTGATGTGAATCATTGGAAGACAGAAAGAATCTGAATTAGGTACGAATTAAATCAATAAACTTTATTCAAACCCCAGATCAAAATTAATAAGGTCTACTAAATGCATAACGGAAAAGGTTCGATCAAAAGTGAAATGTATATAAATAACTTGATATATATAACCAACCTGAGGAACAATTGTTCTCGACGATTACTTTACATACGTACGTAAAAGAAGATATATGCAAACCAATTCAATTCCCAACGACGCATAGAACAAATGCACCAAGATATGCCCACCAAGGTTTTTCTTTAATCATATATCCATGTGGGTGGGTGTTTGGACACCAAAGTGAAAAATCACGTGAAAGTCGATTATGGGGTGTTGTATGATGTGATAATTAGATGTTGAATAACCAATAATATAAAGGTACATAAGAAGCTATAATGGAAGCCATATATTTACTTTTTCGCCATTGCTTCCGGTATGGTGTATCGATTGTTTATTTGGGTTCAAAATTCAAATAACATGCTTTCCGTTTGCTTCAAGTCTATTCTGATAATTTATTTGTCACTTTAAGATCATTTTAGATGAAAGTTAAAATAGTAAACTACATTAATTAATTAATTAATTAATAACAAATATTATGATAATTAAATATAAAATATATTAATTTTATAAAGAATATTACAATAATGAAATATAAAATGCATTATAATGTTCTTCATAATAAATGTATTTCGAATTTAATCACAGTAATATTTTTTATAATTAATACTTTTTATATGTGTACACATATTAGAAATGGATTTTCTAATATGTATTTAGGGATACATAAAAACTATTAATTATTGAAAAATTTTATCATAAAAATTATTAATTATGGAAATATTACCATAATTAAATATAAAATTCATTAAATATAAAAAATTAATACATTTTATATTTAATTATACTATATTCCATATAATTAATAGTTTAATTAATACTTCTTATTTATATTCTAAAGATACATGTTAGAAAATCCTTATATAGAAAATCTCTTGTTTTATATGTATTTAAAGTAATATTATGAAGTTTGTTAGGGGTGTCGGAGCTTTATTTATGAGGTGCAAGTCTTTATCATAGACACTTCAATCAGATAAAACATTAAGAAAAATTGACATGATTGTTCATAAGTTTTGGACATATAGATCATCCGTTATACCATCACTAATTCTATATCAATCTCTTTCATATTATATTCCTCTTATTTTTTTATTTTACTAAAATAATATATATATATATATATATATATATATATATATATATATATATATATATATAATTAAGACATATAGAAAGATATAGGAAAAGGTAGAGAGAGATAGAGAGAAATAGAGAGAAAAACAAGTTGATTGAGTGTGGTGGTCCGTGCTCCTCACCATAAATGATCACGACCACTAGCTACTACAAACACCTCAGATAGTGTTCACATTCGTGATTAGTGGCCACGTAGACCACAAAGAGGTTCGTCATTAGTATACTAGATGGTCTTACAAATCAAAACAACTTATGGCATTAGTGGCACAAGCATGATTAGTTTTGTAATATTTGTAGAAGGTGTTATTTCAATCTTTCGCTTATTTTATTTATTCAACCACTTAAAAAAGAGTGTGACTTTTACATCCTTCATCATAATTTTTTCTTTTCAATTAAAAACGATATGAAAATCAAATCAAATTATATTTAAATGCATGAATAAAAAACACTAAATGAAAATATCATCTTCCATTTGTAAAATCTAGTCGTGAGACGGAGTAGTACGGCTAGTCTCATTCGTTACGTGAACTATGTTTAGTCACCATTAAATACATGTATTTGGGAAGGAAAATAAAAGGTGACACCCACATACTACTTCTCTCTCCTCCTTTACCGTATTCAACGACTCTATTTTTTTGAATTTTTTTTTTTTTTTTTTTCATTTTCAACTATAAATATTAACCAATCTAGTTGATTTTACACCAACAACACTTATTCTATATCAATCTCTTTCATATTTAAAAAAAAATATAATCATCATCTTCGTCCAAAAATGAATGTCTGATTAAGATGGAGATGACTGCTACGAGAGTGATGAGTGGGAAAATTACGATCTTTACAACGATTTGGGAAACATATTTACAAGATTAATCATATCAATCTAAATGAGGATCCAGATGATGATTTTGTCGACAAATTTTCGTATTTGAAGACTTTATTTTGTTTCCATTGTAATTTTTTAGTTTTCCAGTCTTATTATTTTGTTTTAATTTTTTAATTTTTATTATGTGCTTTAATTTTAAAAATTTAGATTACATTAAATAAAAAATTATAGTGTGGCAAACCACGACACTACTTCATGGATGACATATGAAAAAGAGTTATACTATAAATATGGCTTTAAGTACATTTATCCCCTTAAAGTTATTCAAATCAAAACTTTTATATTTGATCTGACATTATTTTTTTTCTCATATTTTGTTTTTTTGTTATTTTTACTTCTTTTTAATTTATATTATTATTATTATTATTATTATCATTATTATTATTATTATTATTATTATAAATTTCGCATAAAATTTAAACATTCGGACGACATTATAAATTCAAACGGCTTTATAAAATCGGTTTTAAATATTTTTTTACATTTTAACATTAATATTATTATTTTTATTATTATTATAAATTTTGAACAACATTTTATCAATCGGAAATTCTAAATTCGAACGGCTATATAAATTGAAACATTGTATAGTGCGCGACTAAATATTTTCAATACGCATAAGCACTACTCAATTATAATACCGTACCAATTAATATCCATAATTAATAGAGTAAATTTTACTTTTGTTCTGATTTTATATAGTCGTTCGAATTTATAATGTCCGATTTATAAAAAGTTGTTCGAAATTTATAATAATAATAACAATAATATTATTAATATTAAAATATAAAAAAAAATATTTAAAAACTGATTTTATATAACCGTTCGAATTGATAATATCGTCTTAATGTTAAAATTTTGTGTGAAATTTACAACAACAACAACAACAACAATAATAATAATAATAATAATATGGTAGTAGTAGTAACAATAATAATAATAATAATAATAATAATAATAATAATAATAATAATAATAATAATAATAATAAAAGAGTTAAAAACAACAAAAAACAAAATAGAAAAAGAAAACATAAAAAAAGACAAAATCAAATCAGGGATGTGAGTGAAAAAAAAAAAAAAAAAAAAAGTACTTATAGAAAACCCTTATGAAAAAATATAGTAAATTACAAAAACAAGTGGGGATGAGCATAGGTGGGCACCCACCTCATTTGGTGAGAAATGGAAGAACCAGAATCGGAACCAGGACCGGGACCTGCGGTTCCTAGAAAGTTAGAACCGGAACCGGAACCGCTCTAGACGGTACTTAAATTTTTGGAACCAATCCCGGAACTGACGGTTCCGGTTCCGGGAGCGGGTAACCCGGTTACATTACTTTTTTAACTTTTTGTAGATAAAACTACAACTTAGTTCGATCCAAATCGAATTAATTCGGACCAAAGAAGGACATAATCAGACCAATATATTCTAAACCGGTCTATGTAACACACACATATTTATATGAAATACTATATATATATATATATATATATATATATATATATATATATATATATATATAAACCGATTTCGACGGGTACCCAGAGGGTAGCAGTTCCGAAAAAATGAGAATTGAAACTGTAACCGCTTTGGAACCGCTTAAGGCGGTTCCATAACTTTAGGAACCGGAACCGGAACCGCTTAAGGCAGTTTCAATTCCAAAACCGGCAGTTTGAAAGCGGTTCCAGTTCCAGAAACAAATACTCGGTTCCGATGCTCGTCCCTAAAAACAAGTGACTGTAGTATGACCTGCAAAAAAATGAAAACAAATGTTACAACTCCTTACAGAATAAGGTTCAAGGCCTACCACTTCAATTGACATGTTCACACCACTTGGAGGCATGACATGGTTTTATTTTTGTTAATATTTTAATATTTTTATAAATTAGGCATTCTTTTCTTAATAAATAAAAAAATTAACGGCTAAAAGTTAGTATCATCAAGTTGATAAAATTCATCAAAATCCATATTTGAACCTAAAACTCGAAACCACCAATCTAAGAGAAAAACATCTAATAAGTAGGGTAGTCATATATTGACAAATAAAAAAACAAACAAATTACACTGAAGTTTGTATTGTTTTTTCTTTTTAAATAAAGACTAATATTGGTATATATTTTTATTTTTTATAATGATAAAAAAAATAGCAAAAAGAAAGGGAGTGTAAGAAAATATTCATTATTCTGTGTTTCCGAGTTCGAAGGATATTAAATGAAAATTTTTAACTTCTGAGTTAAGAAGAAAAAGAAAATAAAACTTAAAAGTTTCATTTCCCTCACTTTCTTCCTAAATCCGTCTAATTTGAGAAGAAATTTTGGAAGGAAAATATGGCTCTAAAATTCTTTTCTTCCCTTCACATTCCTTCCATTAATAAAACTTAGGAACACGATTTTCCTTCGATATCTCTCACTTTCCCTCTATATTCATTCATATCCAATGACCGGAAGCAAGAAGAAAATAAAATAAATTGATATTCCCGACTTTCATTAAAAGAAGGAAATGGAAGGAAATAGAAGGAAATAGAATGATCATTTCTCTTCCTAATTTTCCTTTCGATTTGGAAGGATTTGAGGGAAATAACAAAATGTTCAATTTTGTTTTCATTTCTCTTCAACTCGGGAACACAAAATACAAATTTTCTTTCCTTTTTTTTTCTTACTTTCTTTTATTTTCCCTTCTTTTCTTTTCTATAACCCGGGAACTAATATTGATATATTTTCTTATTATTTTATAACCATAAAAAAATTAATTT